CGAACCAATAAACGTTCTTGGCCTCATCAGATGGTGAAAACTTGTCCAAGGATCCTCTTATGACCCGTAGGTGTCCTGACGTGAAGAGGCCAGGCCAGGTGATTTCCAGCGTCCGTTGTGAGAGACCGAGTGCTCTCGCTCGGGACGGCTTCCCTGTTTGCTAAAGCAAGAGCCACTTGTGAAAACCTCTCCTCCTTGGGGCCCGGGTCACTGCGGCTTGGGCGTCAGTGCACGTGACGTGATGTGAAGAGGTCAGGTGTGCACGCAGGTGCACGTGCATGTGCAGGTACGAGTCTGGGGGTGGGGGCCAGGCGCAGGCGAGGGGGCAGGTGTGCACACCTGGGAGGGGACGACGCAGGAGCCGAGGAGGGGCGGACGGGAGGGGGCAAGGATCAGGGTCCCAGGTCCACGTGAGACGCCACACGCCGCAAGCCCTGAGGGGTCGGGTCAGGGTGGCGAGAGCCATGCCTGCGTGGAGGACTTGCCCACCTCCTGAGGCATTACCGTGTCCCGGGCCTCGTTCCGGACTGCAGGGCCTCCTGCCCGGATCCCCCCGGTCGCGCCGGCGGGACCAGTTCTCTCTGCCTGAAGCCCCTGGACTGGGCCACAGTCCCCCACCCAGCTCGCTGCCAGACCAGCCGGACAGGCTGGCTTCATGGGGGGGGGGGGATGGGCACATGCCGCTCCCTCAGTAAGGATGCGACCGTGCAGGAAGGAAAGCCAGCAGGCTCACGGGGCCAAACCACCACCCCCGCCTCGTGGCCAGTCCCCCCTTGGGGAGCGTGTCCCCCGCCCAGCTCAGCAAGGTCTCTGTCTCTGCAAATTGGCAGAAATAATTCGACACAGCATTTTTCAGAGCCAACTAGAAAGAATTACTGTAAGCAATTGTTTTTCATACAGGATCGCTCCTTTGAGGGTAACTATTTTCATATTTGTGGGGTTTTGACATTTGGGGAAAAGCAGAATTTCATGTAAACGTCTGTTCTGCAAACCCGAAGTGTGAAATACCAGAAACATGCCTGCGAGCCTCTGAATTTCAAAACGCTCTTAAATTTTGATAAAGATCCATGGAAGAGGTCGTCACTTCAGACCATGTTTTATGTGAGATCATTTTCTTCAACATCAAGGAAAATGAAACAGTCGCGTGGCTGAGAGATGTGCTGTGTTGACAGGTGTCTTAATCTCCGGGGCCCTTTAACCCTGTACCGCCACGAAGGTCAAAATCTACACAAAATATAAAGTCGAGTATTTAGATCTTTATTTGATGTCACATGTCTGCATATTTGAGGGAAGTGGTTTTATCTGGAATCCAAGTGTTGTGAAAACAGGACCTCCGTGGCAAGCTGCCTGCGGAAACGGACGGCCAGCGGGAGTGCCGACACGTGTGCAGAAAGAAACGCCCCTGGAAATGAGGCCAAAGCCTTCAGTGGCCCTGGCTATGACCTTGGTCGGTCAGGCTCTTCTGCCTCAATTTTACTGTGTATAAAATGGCCCCATTTCACTCACAGAAGGTGTCTTGGGAACTATTCCGGTCCAAACAAATTAAACCTCACGTAAAATGCACGCGGGCTGCACGGTGCGCTGAGAGCCACGCACGCGCCAGGGGCCGGGGTCACAGCACCCCTGGGTCTTCCCAGCCCGACCCGAAGGAAGTGCGGAGCTACAGACCAGGAGTCAGTGGAGGGAGGCCGCTCGGGGAGGGGACACGCCACAGGAGACTCGCTAGAGGGGCTGGACCGGGTCCCCCGCCGCCCAGTGACGGGGGAGGTGTTGCCGGTGAACAAGGAGTCGGCCGCCCCGGACGGGGAAGGGCCCTCCGGACACGGCTCGGGGTCCTGCCTCACCCGGGTCTTTCCATTCTGAGTCGCAGCCCCGGGGCTCCAACCCTGGAGCCATGGCCCTTCCCGGAGCTAGTAACTCACCTCTCGCGTGCAAACCAACCCACCCCTCCTCTCTAGAGGGCTCTCTACCCCGCTGCCCTGCCCACGCCAGGGCAGGTACCGGACAGGCAGGGATGGCCAGGCCTGAGCCTGCTCCCCGGCCTCCTCGGCTCCTCCTGGGGAAGCCACAGCGAGGGTGAGCCACAGCCCCCTCGCTCCGCTGTCCCTGACGGCCCCTGGCGCTCCCGTGCACACCCCCAGCCCCGTGTGCCACGTCGCGTCGCGTGTCCGCGCTCCACACTGACACAGACCCCAGGTGCCCTTACAGCACGTTCTCACGAAGCATACATTTGGCACAGTCCAGAACAAAACTCCCAGCGGAATTTTTAGCAATAGGACAAACCCATTGCATAATTTGTTTGGATGGAAAAATAAATTTCTATGAATCACGAAGACAATTCTTAACAAGAGGCGGCAACAGGAATTCACCCCACAGGTGACTAAGGCACACGACTCTAGAGCTGCAGCGGTTAGAACGGTGCGGTTGCCCGGGGACTCCATGCCATGGAGTCAAACAGAGCATCCAGAAACAGCTCTGGAAACACCCGGGTCCCAGCCCAAAGGAGCCACGCCAGGCGAGGAGGGCTGGTAATGGCGTTGAATACGGGGTCGCGGTCGAGGAGAAAAATGTGTAGATGGATTAGAAACAACATGAAAAGGCAGGACTAAAAATAAGTATCAGCGGAAAACAGAGGAGAACTCTGTAAATCTGTAAATGACTCTAAAACCCCACAAACAGACCAAAACCGCACAGCCCCGCACCAGCGAGCGCACAGCTTGCGGCCTCGGTGCATCTGGAGAAGAGAAACAATTCTCCCTGAATCTGTCTTCCTGAGACAGACGCAGCTAATACTTTCCAGAGCCTGGCCAGCAGCTGTGAGTGCCGGCTCTGTGTTCCAGAAGGTTCCTGGAGAACCCCAGGGGACTTGCCTTCGAGTTTGAGGGCCCAGCTGGTAGTTTCTCCAAACCAAGAAACTAGCCCCAGAGATGAATTAAAGTCTTTTTCCCTTCCCTGAAAGGAAACTGCATATAACCCCTTGCCCGAGACCAGCTTCTCCTAGTCAAGCCTCCAGAACACTCTGGGACTTCCGGAATATTCATTCACAGGATTAAAATTGAAGCTAAGAAAGTATGAAGCAGTGCAAGACAATGAACTTCCCTGGACTCATCCTCCTGGGCCCTCCACTCTTCACCCCTGCTCTCCGTGGACCCACCCCTCTGGGCCCTCCACTCCTCACCCCTGCTCTCCGTGGACCCACCCCTCTGGGCCCTGAACTCCTCACCCCTGCTCTCCGTGGACCCACCCCTCTGGGCCCTCCACTCTTCACCCCTGCTCTCTTGGCTGCTTTCTGCTTTTATTGGCCTTTTGGGTTTCTCCACGGGTCTGCTGGTTGGGAAGGAGTGGAAAGCCGCCTCCTTGCTGCCTGTCCCTGTATAGTCCCTCACACTGTCCCACCAGCTCCCAGCTGGGCTCTTGCATCCGGATCATGGCAATTGGCAACTGATGCTTAGAGGTCAGCAGTGTGCCGCCGGCTGTGCAGGCGGGGAACTGTGCCCACCACAGCCCACGAGGGCTACCCTGCCACCACACGAGCAGAGGAGGTGGGCACTGCAGTGGTTCCTTTCTATAGATTTGGCAACTGAGGTTTGGAGGAGAGGTTACCTGCCCCAGTCCAGCGCGAGGCTTCGAAAGGGTGTGGGGACCTCGCCCCGCTCTTTTGCCCTCTGTATGGGCGAGGCTGTGTAGGATGTTGCGGACCACCTCGGAACCATCAGCCTCTCTTTTGACTCCCCGCCCCCCGCGTTTCTCTATCTAGACACAGAAGGGCCCCCAGCAAGGTCACACTTCACCATATCGGCAGGCCAGGGTATCAGCCAGGTTATCAGAGAGTCAATCACTTCCTGACCTGCTCCCAAGCAGGGACAAGGCCGGGGAGCCTCGCAGGGCATGGACACGCCCAGGACCCCACGGCGGCAGTCCGACAGTAGGCAGTAGGGTCCGGCCTTCCCCTGGTCCCAGAGTGGTGCAGGAAGCGTTTAGACCACTTCCTCATGATTTCAGGCATCACATGTGAACCCAGGGGCTGCTGGGCTGTGTCCAAGCTGTCCGTTCTCACCCATGCCCGCTGTCTGCGTCAAGGGTCACCCCCTGCCTCTCAGGGTCACAAGGACAGTCACGCACAGAAACTTAGCTGTGCTCACCACATACGGTTTGTGGCAAATTTTTGAAATTTATAGAATTTTATAACTTTTGCCCTAGTTAATACTGTGCGGCAAATGAGGGATCCTCAAATGCCTCCCCTTGGTGCAAGAGAGTAATTCTGTGAAATAGAGTAATGAGCAACAAGAATCATTGGGTTCACACCCCTGTCGAACCACTGGGTCCCATCAGCAAATGCCTCTGAGCACCTCTCCTGCCGGTCGCACCCCCGGGTGGGCCCAGAGATCCCAGTGGACACCCGGCATCCCAGGGCAGGCCTGCTCTCGGGAGCCGCCGAGAGCCGCCGAGAGCCACCTTCCTCGGAGGTCAGGTCCCAGCGAGGGCAGCCAAGGAGGAGACGCGGCAGGAGCTGCGTCCGGGCGCGTTCCCTGTGGAGCCTCGACAGAGTAGCCGCTGGCCTCTGCACTTGGGGCCCGGCTCCTCCTGTCCCTCGGAATTGGGGCTGGGGGCGGGGGGGGGGGCGGCTCCTGCAGCCCCCGCGAGCTGCAGGAGGGGGCGACATGGTGGGCCTCGGGGCGCCTGGGACCAGGCCCGGAGGGTCCCCGCGGTCTGGCCACGGCGGGAGGCGCGCCGCGGGGGACTGGGCGCCCCTCGGGGTCGACTCTCCCGGACGCCCCGCCACCCCCCCCCCCCCCGGAGCTGAGGTCAGACGCAGGGCGCGGGCAGGGCCGCCCTCCAGGACCGCGGGGGCGGGGCTCTCGGGAATCCCCGCCCCTGCCGGCCCAGGCCTCGCCCCGCCGGCGCCCCCCTCCCGCCCGCCCCGCCCCCCGCGTCACGCCGCCGCCGGCCTGCGCCTGCGCGCCCGCCCGCCCCGGCTGCCGCGCATCCTCCGCCCGCGCCCCGCGCCCAGCGCCCCGCGCCCGCTCCGCGCCCGGCTCCGCGCCCGCCCCGCGCCCGCTCCGCGCCCTGCTCCCCGCGGAGGGCGGCGGCCATGAGGCTGCGGGCGCGCGGTCCCCGGGCCGCCCCCGCCTCCGGCGCGGGGGCCGGCGACGCGAGGCGGCTGGCGCCCCCGGGGCGGAACCCCTTCGTGCACGAGCTGCGCCTCGGCGCCCTGCGGAAGGCCCAGGTGGGTGCGCCGGGGCCCCTGCGGCCGGGGAGGGGTCCCGCGGGCCTGGCCCCGCGGCCGCCCTGCCGCCCCCCGCGGCCTGCGACCCCCGCGCGTGCCTGCGGCCGGCCGCGCTCACCCAGTCCAGGCCCCTCCTCGCTGGCTCCCGTCCCCCTCCCGCCCCCCGGGCAGCCCCGAGCCCGGCGCCGCATCCCGGTCCCCACGCCCCCTGTCCGCCGTCCCCGGATCTCCGCGCCGCGCGGCGCCCTGGCCTGGCGTCCGCTCCCGCCGCGCGCAGGCCCCACGAGGCGCCCGCGCGGCCCCCCCGGGGGGGACTTGGTCCCTTGATGAGCTTCACGGGTGGGGACCTGCGGGAGACAGCGGGGTGCGCGCCGTGCGAGGCGCTGGGAAGGGAGCGGCAGGATTTCCGCCTCTGCGTTTGCAAGTTGCGTCCTGCGGGGCCCCCGTAACGGACTCAGCTTCGTGCATCCTCGGTCCCAGGGCGGGAGGGGACCGTGTGCACTTTGTTTCCAGCACCTTTTATTTGTGGCGACCTCTGCTCCTGGCGGAGGAAGGACGCCTGCAGGAAGGCGGGGGGACCCGCACCGGCCCTGTTTCCTCACAGCGATCCAGGGCGGGCTGGTGGGTACGCTCCCTGGTCTGGTGGGTTCACTGCCTAGTCTGGTGGGGTACAGTCCCTGACCTGCTGGGGTACGCTTCCTGGCCTGCTGGGGTACACCCCCTGGCAGTGTTGGGGTGCGCCTCTGGCCTGGTGGGTTGTGCTTCCTGGCCTGGTGGGGTACACTCCCTGGCGGTGTTGGGGTACGCCCCTGGCCTGGCGGGTTGCGCTCCCTGGCGAGGTTGGGGTACGCCCCTGGCCTGGCGGGGTGCATTCCCTGGCGGGGTTGGGGTACCCCCCTGGCCTGGTGGGGTGTGCTCCCTGGCGGGGTTGGGGTACGCCCCTGGCCTGTTGGGGTGTGCTCTCTGGCAGCGTTGGACCTCGTAGTTGACAGTCTCTCCAATTCATTGTGTTTGCGTTTCTGTAAAATTGCTGTCACCACAGCCTTTCTTTTAAGTCCAAAGCCGTAACAGAAGCAGGCAGTTTTAGGACTTGAGCAGTTTTGTCCAGCTTGAGGAGGATATTTTCCACTTTGACAAAACTTTTTGGGGTGACACTGAGATTTCTTTAATGCGTAAAGTTATTCATTTGAAATAATATCAAAGTGAAAAGTTCTTGAACTCAGTCTGAAGTTGTCCTGGGTTGCCTGCTTTTTCTCAGAGCGTCTCTAGGTGGGCTTGGTGTGGGAGAGGAAAGGGGGGGCACGAGATTGAGGACCGAGGAGAGAAGGCGAGGGTGGCATCCCTTCTCGTGACATGAAAAAGCAGGGTCGTCCCAGTCCGCTCCTGGCTGTCCCCCGTCTCTGTGTGTGTGGAGCCAGACCCCAGCGCCTGCCTGCCCTGTGTTCTGCGGGCACCTCCTGCTGGGCTCCTGTGCTGCTGACTTGAACTCCTCGCCTGCAGGTGGTACCCGGCTGTGGGGGGTTAGGGTCACAGCCGCTTCCTCTGGGCCCCCGAATGGTCCCCCACCAGCCCCGATCCTCTTCACTCTTGTGATCCACAGGCCTTCTGCCCATGGCTCTGAACCCCCTGAGGGTGACCCTGGGACTGAGCCCTGGGTCCTTCGGGTGGCTTCCAGGGCCCTGTCCCACCCGCCTGCCCCCGGGCACCGGCTCTGCAAGCCTGCATCTTCCTGCCTGTGCCTCCTCCCTCCTGGCCTCTCTGTGCTCCTCCTTCAGGTGTTGGGTGAAGCAGCAACGCAGAAGACAGCCCCTTCTTCCCTGGAGGCCCCTCTGCATCTGTCACGTTTGCAGCCTCTCCCCCATTACTGTGGATGGACAGGGGCCAGGTCTGTCCTCTCCCAAGCTGTGTGCTTATTGCTCACGCGAGGTGCACCGTCGGGGCTCAGCTAGCTGTTGAGTGAATAAACCAGCGAAGGGGCCCGATGTCAGAGCCGAGCCAGAAATCCCTGACGCCCCTCAGGCTCAGGCTTGGGACACAGGATTGTAAATTGGGGGTTTGGAGCAGCTCCGGGGAGCTGCTCTTCAGTGCCAGGCTGAGATTCTGGTTTTAGATGTTGGCTCACAGCTTCTGGAAGACATTCAAGAAAGAACAGGTGGGTGGAATGTTTCAATCTCTCAGAAAGGGAAGGATACTTTGTATACACCTTGTTGCAATGTTTCAGAGGCTGTGTCAGAATGTTCTTAGAAGACCTGGTGTATGTATAGGTTGGTGACAAAGCTGTGGCTACTGCTCAGCTGTCGGCAGTGTGTGGTCTGGAGTATGTAGCTTGTAAATGCGAAGTTCCAAGTTTCGCTCTGCAGAAACATTTTGCTCTGCACGCGGCGGCGCTCTGCAAAGCTTTTTACTTCCATGCACCGCGTTGCGTTACGTAAAGGTTTCCACAAAGGAAACTAACCCGTGGGAGCACAGTGCCTGCCGAAATCAGTAAACAAACCCATCCAGCAGTGACTGAGCCACCCAAGGGCTGCTCAGAAACTCTCCTAAGTTCTGAGTGAAGGTAAACCGGTGAGGGTTTACACTCATGGGTAGCATGTGCCGCTGGGGCGGGGCTGCCAGGCACCTGCGGGTTAATGACCAGGCCATCTGTCGTTAGCGGCAGATTTAGCGAGGAGCTTAAGCGTCTCATCGGACAGAAAAGAACCCATCCAGTTAGGAAGAACTGAATGGTACGGCATTGGGGAGTCACGTGGGGATTTGCTGTTGGGGAGTCATAAGGTGGTTTGTGTCGCCTGGGTTGTGGGGGTGCTTCCTGGGGGAACCGCAGGTGTGAGTGCATCCCACGTCCAGCTCTGATGCTTCCTCATTTCTGAACTCATGTGACTTGTGCCAGGGAGAACTTACTTCCCAGAAAGCAGTCTGGCTTCTGCACACCTTGGAACGGAGTCCTTTATGGGGGGACAGTGCAGAGTTCACAGGCCTCCCCATTAAGTCCACAGTGATCATTGCCATGAAGGCTGAACGCAGGGACGCACAGCCCAGCAGGGGAGAGGGGGCCCGTGTGCACACAGGGACACACAGCCCAGCAGGGGAGAGGGGGCCCGTGTGCACACAGGGACACAGCCCAGCAGGGGAGAGGGGGCCCGTGTGCACACAGGGACACACAGCCCAGCAGGGGAGAGGGGGCCCGTGTGCACACAGGGACACAGCCCAGCAGGGGAGAGGGGGCCCGTGTGCACACAGGGACACACAGCCCAGCAGGGGAGAGGGGGCCCGTGTGCACACAGGGACACAGCCCAGCAGGGGAGAGGGGGCCCGTGTGCACACAGGGACACAGCCCAGCAGGGGAGAGGGGGCCCGTGTGCACACAGGGACACAGCCCAGCAGGGGAGAGGGGGCCCGTGTGCACACAGGGACACAGCCCAGCAGGGGAGAGGGGGCCCGTGTGCACACAGGGACACAGCCCAGCAGGGGAGAGGGGGCCCGTGTGCACACAGGGACACACAGCCCAGCAGGGGAGAGGGGGCCCGTGTGCACACAGGGACACACAGCCCAGCAGGGGAGAGGGGGCCCGTGTGCACACAGGGACACAGCCCAGCAGGGGAGAGGGGGCCCGTGTGCACACAGGGACACAGCCCAGCAGGGGAGAGGGGGCCGTGTGCAGCTTTCCTTTCCCAGAGGCATGAGATCTTTTCCTCGAGCTCCTGTCCAAATGCGTGGTCTTGATTTGGAGAAGCAGCAGCAGCGGTGCCGCTGGCCTCGGCCCTTCCCCGAGGCAGGTGTGGCCTCCTGGGACCTGGAGTCCTCAGCCCCCGGCTTCCAGGCCTGGTGGTTTCCAGCTGCTTCTCTGACCTGCCAGGCTCCCGGGCACACAGCCCAGCGCCCCTGCTGCCCCTCGAATCCGGGTCCTCCCGGCATGAGACGCAGGATGACGGCTCGGTGTCCAGCCCCTCCCGTGACCCCCGCTCTGCCAGGGGGTGTGAAGGGACGGGTAAACGGGGAGGCGACTCCACTCGAAGCTGGGGTTCGTGAGCCGCTGGTGGCCATAGAAACCTGGGGGGAGCACAGCCTGCGATGAAGGATTTCCGGGACCGCCTGTGTCGCGTGGGGGCAGGGGGGCCTCCCTGGGGGCCTGGGAGGCAGGCCCGGGAGCCTGTCCCCGAAGCCTGAGAGCACCGCCTCTCTGGGCACGTTTGTACCCAGAAGGGCCCTTGCCACCCGCCCGGCAGCGCGGCCCCCACGTCCTGTGTCCCAGGTAAGGAGACTGCGGTCCCCAGACTCCCAGGCAGGCTCCGCGCACATGGGCCCTGCCCTTAGGGAACCGGCTTCTTCTTCTAATAGAGCCGCCTGTAATCCGGTTCTATTTTTCTGGAAGGGTGCACACATTACACGTAATTGAGGCTGACGTCGAGGAGTGGGGAAGGGGGCTCGGGATTGGAAAGATGCCTTCCATCCTCCATGCTCTTCCGTCCCGAAATAGAGTCTTCGTGTGTGTGCACACATAGGCTTGTGTATGTGTGTGCACACACGCGCCAGTATGGACGCTCGCACGTGGTCGTGTTTTACGTTCTTTTAATTTCTTAGTACTGAGCAAAGTACTGGCAGTCCCACTTGTCATTTTAGGAGGTGGAGGTTTTGTCCCCGAAACTGGCCCCTCAGGACCCCGGGTGCTCGCCCGCCCGCTGCCCCTGCAGGCGTCCACCCACAGGGGACGCACCCCAGATGGCGGAGGAAGTCCAAGGACGTGTCCTGAGTGCCTTCTGCCCCTGCGAGTGTGAGCAGGGCCTCCCGCTGCCCTGCCTGAGGCCCAGAGCCCGGCTGACCGTTTGCTCCTTCACCTTCCTGCCCCCGGGGCCGTCGCCCCTCTGTCCTTCACACCGTCCCCAGGGCTCGCCCTTCGCGGGTGTGCTGCAGTGTGTCAGGGTGACCTTACCCCTTCCCGAGTTAGCGTTTCTCACGTTGCTGGTGTTCCCTGAACCTTTAGTAAGGGTGTAAGTTGTTTT